CACACATATTGCATTCACTTGGCTTTAGTGGTTTAATCTTTAGCCTAAAGGAGACTTGCACAGAAGTAACATCAGACTGGTAGCTCATAAAATTGACTGGTTTGGAAAGGATTACTTAGGTCTCTGCTGCTGAATTACAATAAAATGTAAAGAAAAATACTAATCAGAATCATTTGGGTAAAAATACAGAGCAAGTGAAGCTCTATGCAAACCTCTAAGTGCAAAGCAAAGAAGGGAGAAAATCCAAAACATTTGGGGATAGTAAGATGCAACAAATTATGGCTACTGTACAGCTCTTCTGTAAATTTACTTGTGCCTTGTTCTTCAGATAACGTGCATTTTATGGATCATTCTATTTTGAAAGGAGTAAAAGAACAATGCTCGGAGACACGTGTAATGTCTCTGGAAATGAGCACATGAAGGAGACCGAAAAGACTAGAACTGTCCTGAAGCACAGAAGAAACCCAATCACATAAAGACAAAGTAGGTTGGTGGCTTAATTTTTTTTTTTTCATTTGTATTACAAAATCCTTTGTCAGCCACTATCCCTTAACCTTAGCCTCTCACACATTCCGCTAGAATAAAGGGGCGGTAGAAGAAACTGAAACCAATTAAAATTGACTCCATTGTACAGAAAAATACTGTTAATGCACAAAATCCCTGTCAAAGGAATCAGACCAAGAATTTAGTAAATACTGAAAAACAGTAAGACACAAATACAGATGTCTACAATTGCATAAAATGGAGCGATTATTTTTGTAGTCTGGCTATTATTTTAATACAGGGGAATTTTTTTTACTGCTTAGGACAAAACGTATTTGTGTTGGGAAGATCGTAAGTGAAACATCTGGCACTGACAAACAACAGACTTAAAATCCCAGAAGTTTTATGTGTCTATAAAACTGCCTTCAGTGTTTATTTACTGTCCCAGCTCACAACAGCATGGATCATCAACGAGGCACGAGAAGAATTAACAGACTAACAATCGCCTAGCATGGCAGTCATGTATGCAAAAGAATGCCTGCTTACAATACACACTTTGTGTTATTAAGTTCCCTGGACATCGTTAAAATAATTCTTTAATGTTTTGTTTGTGAAACTGGTTCAGGAGATAAATAAAAGTTATTCTACTCACCAAAAGCTTCAATCCAGCAATACACATAGGCATGCGAGTAGTCCACTGAAACCACATTGGGACCACTCACATACTTAAACATACACGTTAGTGCTTTACCGGACTGGGGCCTATTAGTAGATACCCTGGTTAGTTAGAATTCCCCATACACTTTCCCCACATGGTCCAGTCACCATTTTGGAGACCATCATGGCTTTGTATTATGTCAAGACACTCGATGGCAGCTTTGGATCTTGAAAAAACAAAAATCTCTGCTTGAAGTATGAAAAGTCATTATTATTTAGTCAAGTACAACAGTTCAAGTTCAGCATGCTAGTCTCTGTAAGTGTTCTGCCTTTCCAACCTTACTTCCAGTAACATTTTCCCCACAGGCACAAATTGCAAATGCTGAAGCAAGAAGAGGCTGACAGAGAAAGGAGGCATTTTTTTACATACTTCGTAGGTCCACCAATACACCAGATGCATTTACTACGTTTTTACACCACGACGGCTTCTGTGCGTAAGTCACCTGTGTAGACTTCCAAACTTAAAACCAACACTTCAAATCTACGCTGTCAGGCTTTCAAATACAGCTTCTTTCTTACAGCTGTCTCCAACTTCTAGAGACATGCTGGTATTTCAGATTGCTCAACAATTTTTCCTACATCTCCTACTACCACAAACAACTATACGAAAGATCATAATGATTCATTAAAAAAACCTTGTAATACATTAACAGGGCCATTTCGGACTGCTGATTCCCAGAACTAATTCTGTGACTTGAACAAAAACATAACAACGTAACTAATTACAAGGGTTTTTTAATGTCAGTATAGACTTGCAACAGAATTGTCACAATCGTATTTCAAAATTACAAACAACGAATGGACATAAATTGTATCTTAAACTTCCTGAGGATCCAGGTGCACACCCCCACTACCCTACTCCAACAGCAAGGGAGTGTATCTGGCTCATTTTGCCCAAAGGAAGCCTTTTTCTCCTTGTAAGTATTTAAAATGCTACTCAGAGAAGCACTCTGTTACCCTTCAGACTCCCTGGAGAAACACCCAGGGATTCTGCTACTACAAGAGTATTCCTCTGCTTCAAAATTAAGGATTGCCAAACCCAAGGGGATGGTATGCTCTGCTGTCAGCTAATGACCCTTGAAATCACCCTTAACACAAACCAAGTTAAGGTAGATGCAAATAAAAATATTTATTTACAAAATATAAAAACAGACAACATTGTTACAAGCATTTATAGATACACGTAACAGAAAGGAAATATATTTAATATATTTACTCCAATGTCCATTTTTAAGGCCTCTCCTATATAATACACAAACCATCAGTGCTTAGCTAACCCAATTCATGAAAGACACAAGCCTAGCATCGTTGGCAACCTGAATGCAAGCTCGCCTGAAGTGTGAGCACACCATTAACCATGTGAAGGACAAGACTCTTCACCACCTGGTAAAAACACGGCCAAATGTTGGGATACGACGTTTGTGCGCTCTGGACTTTTTACATAAACACTACGAACTGGGAATGACATTCCGCACAAACATTTCTGAATGTTTGTCTTACCAGTGGTTCATGACAAAGGCCCAATAGCAGTCATGAGCTACGCTGAGGGCAAAGCGAGTTGGGTGCCCGACCCTCAAACTCTGAGGTACACAGTGAAAACGTCTGCTGAGCCAGTTATATTCACTGTGCTTCTGGTGCTGTAAAGGACACAGAAGGGAAAAACTTCTGTGCTTCAGGAAGTGAACTGGACGACATTAAGACAGTTCTTGCAAAACAGAATGCACCAAGTGGACTGTTTCGTCAGAAATCGATGCCAAGGCTTTTATGTTTATTTGCTTTGAAAGGTATGAGAACAAGTCTTCAGATGGAGTGAGGTTAACACTAACTTGGAAAAATTTACATCTGCCTTAAATATTTACTTTACTTAATTACAAAAACCCCACAAAATATCCTTTTGAAGACATTTCAAGGGGAAAAACATTTGCTTTTTTAGCTTATTATACATACAATTAGATTTTCCTTTGGAAGGCCACGTGGAAGACAACTATGTAAGAAAATGTGACTGTAAAGCTAAAAAAAAAAAATCAGTAGATACATTCAGATGAAACGACAGTCTCGGAAACTACTTTCAAGTCCATTTTCAATGGATTACATTTCGATGCAACGCTATTGCTCCAAGATCGGTAGGACAAATTTAATTATTACTAAATTTATAGCTATGATTAGGGTGTTAACCTCCGCAGGAAACTGGATGAGAAACGTCCTTTGCACCTTCAAGCCAACTTTCAAATTCAATTGAGACAAAGAAGTGACTAGTTGACAAAAGCACACAATACGGCTACAGGTTGCTTTCATCGCTGCCTATGCAAGCACGGGGACCAAATTTAAGACCACAGCATACTCGCATGTTAGGTACTGTCTATGCAAGCTTTTTTTTCTTTTTCCCCGACTTCAGTTTGGGACCAGACTGACTAGATAGCGATTTGGGTTTTCTTATATGATATGCTTTCCTTCCCTTCCTTACCTCAATGGATGGTTTGGGGAAAACATCATCCTTAGCTTCTTCTTTGCCTTTTTCAACTGGAACCCATTCTCCATAGACACTATCAGCTTCTTTTTTCCTATGCTGAGACCCAGATGAAACAGGAAATTCCTTTGACAGGCTGACCTGATTTTTTGGTTGTGGTGGTGGTGCTGGTTTTATGCTGGGAGTCTTAAAAGAAATAAAATTTGAAAGAGTTAAAAACTCTAAACCAGACAATACTCACAATATGTCTAAGAGAAATGCTTTACTGCATATGCTTCATTAAAAAAAAATCATTCTTACTAACGTCAAACCAAAAGCCTTCATAACACCATCATTTTAGCACAGCCCTAAAAAACACACAAGTGAGCAACAAATCACACTGTAAAATGAAATCACTTAGATCAGCTTCAGCAGACGAGTAACCAAAACCTCATTTTCACAATTAACCTTCCTGCTCTCCCTCCACCCCCATCATAAAAAGAACAACCTTATCTGCCGCACGTGCATTCTGTAATGGAAATTTCGAAAATAAAAACCCTGGGCAGCAAAAAAAATTGGCTGTGATATCCACATGATGATTAAAAATCTCAGTATTACTACCATAGAGAAAGCAGTTTTCAACATTTTGTTTTGTTTCGGTTATTTTTTTAATAGCAGCATGAATCTCAAAGTAAATTAAGTCTATCAGCCTGCTTTCCTTAGAAAGTACTGCTCATATATTAAGAGTCTACAGAATTCTCTGAGAGGTTCCTCTTCTAAGAGGCAAACAGAGCCCAGCCAGCTCACAATGTTCAGTAAACTCCTACTATCAAAGGAACATGGATGGGAATGGTAGTAAGGCTAGAATCCAGAAAGAATGGAAAGAATGATACTAAAAGGGTCAGAACTGTGGCCAACAGGCACAGCAGTCCATAACCCCTAAAGAACATTCCCCTTTGGAGCCTGTGCAGAATCCCAAGGTTTCCTGAGCTTTGTCGCACTGCTTACTAACGGTACAATATAAAGCATAAATGTATTTCTACCTTACGTATCATGTAAATCTTGCGTCACAAGCTATATGTTTATATTTTCACTTTGATATAGTACTTTATACCCTGCAAAATCAGAGCAGACTTTCTTGGGCTCAAAACACCCCAAAGATACAAATCCCCATGCTTTGAAGCATCCAAATCTCAGATGCATTTTAAAAAAAAAAAAACCCACACCCAAGCCACTCCCTCATTTTATTCCTTTCAACATGCTCCTACCCAGAAAGTGTGAACACAAGCTCTGACAAGAGTAGAAAGCAGTCCCCCAAGGAGGGAGATTAATGGGACATTTAGACCCAACTAGTATCAGGCAACACCAGTGATCCTCATTCTTAAGACAGCATTTACTTCTCTGGTCACTAATCTCAAACCTAACAGAACTTTCTTCTCCTTTAGTGAACACTTGACACCTACTGAAGAAGCACAGAAGATTTGGAGTCTACACAAAACTGATGGCATCATCTTATTTAGAATACCCCAAAATGCTTTTAGAATTTTGCTGGGGGGTGGGGGGTAGGAGGGTAGGGCTATTTGTCTTTTAAAGAAAAACGATGCCATTCCAAAAGCGTTTTCCAATTCTAACGCTGTTTGCAATTTTATACTGAATTTTTGCAATGAGAACGTGAAGTAAAACCAGTCCTCTTCATGTTATTTAAGCTTTAAAAGCTGCAAAGACAGCAATGAAAACATCACTTTCAATCAAATTATGGGAACTACCACAACTTCACAGACTGCAGGTAAATTTCTTATTGCAGTGAGAGTACTTTTAACATCCCAGGTCAATTTCACCAAGATTATCAATCTCTGCTTAATTTTTGTAAAATTACTTGCGTTATTTAAAAATAACCACAATTAAAATATTTAAAACTAAATAAATACTCACACTTAAATTGAAAAAAATAGGTTTGGGTTCGCTGAGCTTAAAAGGATGATTATAGAAAGGACGTTCTTCCTCTTCTTCATCAGAAACGTGAGGTTTGTTCACTATCACATCATCTGTGCTTTGAGCAATCTTCTTGCATTTCTAAGGTGGGGGGGGGGGTAAAGGGAGGGCACATGATTAAATCTGGACTTTCAACCAAAACATACAAAAAGAACATTTTTACAGAAAAGTGGTTTTCTTTTCTAAAGCAGGAGGTACGAGAAGATCTTTTAGCAATATTACCAGTATATGTACTTCCGACATTTTATACACCTTATCAAACACCTGCCTGTGTCTGCCAGGCACTCATGCAGCGAGTAATTTCACAGACGTAAGACTTCAGCAGAATGCTGTAAAACTTGCCACACAGTGCTAGTTGCAGAATGTGTGTCTAAGGCTGCAAACATTCCAAAGTAGGACCTCACTGGCTGTTTGGCATCCCACATAACTACCATATACTGACAGTTCTATCAGATTGCAGTAACTCACAAAACTACTATGCAAGAAAACCTAAGAATTAAGTTACTAATTCTGAGTTCCACTGGTAGTTCAGGGACCTAGTCAGAAGCAATGGCACCAAAAGAGGTCAGATTTCTTCTGAAATATTTTGTCATTTGCCAGGTACACAAGATATCCCTGTTTTATATTCAACATTAGTCGAATACAGTATAGGTGCTATGAAGATATTGCAGTCAAATGAGAAGAGAACCTCCAGGGTGGGGTGGAGGGAGACATGATACAGAGGCTAGAATTTTATGATTAAAAACTCTTTATAGATCACTGTTATCTGCATTGAGTGTTTACCAGCAGCAACTGTAACTTACGTCACTCCAACATGCATTTGGGAACATTATAGTCTAGTATAATGCTTCTATCCCCATTCATGGAAAGTATACTTAGAAGACATTCAAGGACATAGTATTTCAGGAAACAATGCCAGCTAAGTGAAGCCATCATCTGATATAATTCTAGTTCAAGTTCACACCACTGTAAGTCACGTCACATCTGTTTGATGACCTGATTGTTGGCATAAGGAGCAAACAGGCAGCTCCACCACCAAAAATCAAGACACGTTAAATGGCACTGTTCTCATCAATCCTTATCACCAAAAAAAAAAAAAATTAAGACTCTCACACTCTGCTGTGCTAAGACACCTCCAAACAATGACTGAAGCACATTGTTCAGGCAACAGGAAAAGCCTGCGCTATCTGGAAAGCTAAGCAACAGAATGTATTATCTGTAGCTATTGGTTGGCTCCCAACTAAGCGGGAGCCGTTTGCCCAGTTTGCAGGTTACATGGCAGAGAGGAAGCCGAATGGGCTCTGGCAGGGTTCTCTGCCTGGGCACACTACCATATGACAGTGGCCTGGACTGCTCCTGTGGCCAATTTCAATTCAATAGAACGGGAACATCATCCAACAGATTCCCACAGTTGGAAAGGGCAAGGAAGGGGCAGGTCTGAGGCTTCCAGATTAGCACCAGCCACACCAGATCTTTGTCAGGCTGCATGAAGAACCGCTTAAGATGTCTGCAGGGTGTGCCGGCACAATCTCAGCTTTTGTACTAACACGCACTTCAGCTTCCACCAGCCCACACACACCTAAGAGGTTTTTCAGCAATATGACATTGCTTAATTTCAGGTGTTATTTCTATAAACAGGTATCTCAGAACTGTCACACTGATGATGTAATTAAAAAAATAAGAAAAGAAAAAAGCTGCCTTTTTTTCCCATTCAAAATTTTCTCTTGTGTCTGGGGGGAAAAAATGTAGGGGGATATTAGCAAATTGAACAAGGTGACACTAACACAGTAAAAGGATAAGTAGCACTTTTTTTCCCCACTATCAGAACAAAAACATCCCATTTGCAGACTTGAACTGCAACACCAATTCTCTAAAGTATATTAAAATATACAGAACTGTATGAAACAGGCACTAGATTTTTAGTGATATAATATCATTTAGCAACGTGAAATTCAGTTATCAAAAATAAGAACATAACGAACAGCACCAGAACCAAAGCTAGAAGTGAAAGCTTTGATTTTTATTAACAAGACTGCAGGGAGAGCTACCAATTTATACAACATTAGAACAGAATCAAAGCAAAACAAAATGGATTTTATGCATTTCCATGGAATTAAAAAAACTATTTTCATGTCTTAAAAAAAATAGGTATAGAGAATAAGGGCTCAAACCACAGCCAGATTACACACAAACCAAGCACACAGAATGACAGCTTGCCTAGAAGTCACAAAAAAACCCAATTTGATAATTTTCAGGTTTGATACTGCTGTTCTCCCTTACCTCGGTGAGCTCCTTCAGTGTATCTCTTGATGACTTCTGATTGGCTTTGTCGTCTTTCTTTTGAGACAACAAAGGCATTAGGCTCGGTGGTAAAGGAACACCAGACTTAGCACACATGGCGGCTGCATTAGCTTTGGCTATTTCCAGTAGCTGCGCCTTGTCTAAAAAATATTTTGTAAAAAAAAAAAAATATTTTTACGGATTGTTTAATAATAAATAAGCGTTTATGGCAGACTAAAAAAGTATAAAGGTAAACACAAGATTTTACCTAACACTGTGCATTTTTATGTTCTGTCAAAATAAATAAATTGTACTTAGTTTCTTCAGACTTTTTAAAATTTGGTCTACCCAACACACAAGTGAAAACTGACAATTTAACACAAAGCACCGGAGTCCAAATCACAGCACTCAAAATCCTCCAAACCCCAGAAGTTCTGATGTTTATTTTTACTTCATCAATTCATTCTGGTTTTGGAACTACCGGGTCATTTCTACACAGAATAATTTCAAAGCCTACTTCCTAGCTATCTCTGAAAGGCACTCAAAGGTCTTGAGGTCCCCTCAAGTCCTCCAGTACGTAGCCTGAAAGCAACTTACAACCAAACAACAGAAAAACATCAGCACTGAGTAAGATGTGCAGTTGTGTAAACTACAATTACACACAGAACTGTTAGAAAAACTATTTTGCATTATTAAGAAAAAAAGCACATGTGGCTCTACCACAGAAATGGGAAATGAAAATAAACTACATCCTATATGATCTGCCAGTTAAATGACTCGCTACCACTTCTGCAAGCACACAGCTATACAAGAATCCTAAAAGGACAACATTCCTTTATTTCTTAAGCAGCAATAAAAGCATATATAGTTACAGGCTTGCTGCATCATGATGAAGGCAGATTCAAGGATGCTCTAATTCTCATGTTCTGTCTGACGCTACCTCTCTGGTAGAGGGGTTGCTGTGGTAACTTTATGAGACAAAAGGATCGGAACCTGAGGTCCACAAAAAGGAGGCTTTTCAGAAACTGCCCAAGAGCTCGTCTCTCAAACTTAACCTTTCTTCTCCTTACATAACTTACAAGGCTTCTCTTCCTCCAGTTACAGAAGAAAGATGTAATTCATTGGTATTTTTTTCTTTCATTTTCCCATCAGCTGGAGCTGGGAATATTTTCAGAAATGCATCTCCCCATTAAGTTTTTACCATGGGAAATAGGCAAGACAGAGTAATGGAACCACATGAACAAGCATTACAGCTGATGACAGATCTAAGAACTCTCCAACTGGTACTTCCTTCCAAATGTTCTTTCATGCTCAATTTGCTCTCAGGAAAACTAGAAATTCCTAAGTTTTACAGAGTACTTGGCCTTTACTAACTATTGCAACTAATGGCGTTCCTCAAGACTGCAACATACTACCTTTGGATAAAATCCTCTATAACCAAGATACAACCTGCTCTAAATACACTTTCCTTCAGCTCCAACATAAAAGCTCCTACTGGAAATCACTGCCCAGAAATAATGCACAAAACGACCTGTAAGAAATCTCTTACAAATGCTACAGAGAGACGTTAAAATAAGACTGTGTAGATGAACACAGTGCCACTTAACCATGAAACTACTGAAAACAGAATTATCACTTACCCAAGTCTGTAAGACGTTTAGGTGACCTGCTGGAAAATCGCTCCGATGACCTCGACCTACGACGATCAGGGGATCTGCTGTATCTTCTTCTCCCGGAAGATCTTGATCGTCGTAGTCGAATTGGTGACCTACTCAAGCTCCGCCTTCTTCCTCTTGACCTTGATCGCCTTTGACGAATAGGTGTTCGACTCCTGCTCCGTAATCTGAGTGATATTCTACGATCTCTTGAATCTGACCTCCTCCTTCGTCTGTCAGTAGATCTTGATCTATTTCTCTGAGATCTCTTACGCCTGTCTCTTGATAAAGAACGCCGTCTTCTTGATGCTGACCTTGACCTACTCCTCCTTCTGTGCCTTGACCGTGACAATGAGCTAGACCGAGAGCGACGATTAGATTTTGATCTTGATGCTCTTCTCCGTGTTACTGATCTGGAGCGATTCCGTCTAGAGCGAGATTCAGTATCATATCTCTGGGATCTGTGCTGAGAAGACCTGGAGCGTCTGCTTCTAGACCTCCGTGAAGAGTCTTTGTCTGCTGCTTTTTCAAGAGATTTGGATCGACTCCTTTGGCGAGCCGTAGACCTGGAGCGTCTACGTCTAGACCTCCGTGAAGACTCTTTGTCTGCTGCTTTTTCAACAGATGTGGATCTGGAGCGTCTACGTCTAGACCTCCGTGAAGACTCTTTGTCTGCTGTTTTTTCAACAGATGTGGATCTACTCTTCTGGTGAGCAGCAGACCTGGAACGCCTATGTCTAGATCTCCGTGAAGACTCTTTGTCTGCTGCCTTTTCAATAGATGAAGATCTACTCTTTTGGAGAGTAGGAGATTTTGAGTGTCTGCTTACCGATCTTCGTGAAGACTCTACATCAGACATTTTATCAACAGATTTGGATCTAGATTTTTCACGTTCAGAAGACTCAGAACGTCTACTGTCAGGTATAAAGGAAGAGTCCTGTTCCTCCAGCCTCTCAAGAACCATGGAATCCTGTTTATCTTCATCTTCCAGGGAGGGCTCCACATCCTCACCCTCTTCACCAGTGGTAGACCTTGACTCATGCTCATCTGATGATGTGGAGTCTCTTCGTTCAGCTGTCGAGGAGGGCTCCACATCATCTGCTTCTTCACCAGTGGTAGACCTCGATTCACGCCCATCAGGGGATGAGGAACGTCTGTGTTCAGTTGTCAGAGAGGGTTCCATATCCTCTCCTTCTTCACCGGCAGTAGACCTTGACTCATGCTCATCCGATGATGTGGAATCTCTTCGTTCAGCTGCCAAGGAGGGTTCCATATCCTCCACATCTTCACCAGTTGTAGACCTCGACTCACGGTCATCGGAGGATGTGGAGTGTCTACGTTCAGCTGTCGAGAGCTCCTGGTCCTCTGCTTCTTCACCAGTGGTTGACCTTGACTCACGTCCATCAGGAGACACAGAGCGTCTTTGTTCAGCTGTCAAAGAGGGTTCCAAATCCTCTGTTTCTTCACCAGTTGTAGACCTCGACTCACCGTCATCAGAGGATGTGGAGTGTCTACGTTCAGCTCTCAAACAGGGCTCCCCATCTTCTATATCTTCCCCAGCAGTAGACCTTGAATCATGTTCATCAGAGGATGTGGAGTCTCTTCGTTCACGTGCCAAGGAGGGTTCTGCATCGTCTCCCTCTTCCCCAGCGGAAGACCTTGACTCATGGTCATCAGAAGACACGGAGCCTCTACGTTCCGCTGTCAACGGCTGCTCCAGATACTCTGCCTCTTCACCAATGCTGGATCTTGACTCATGCTCATCAGGGGATGTGGAGCGCCTATGTTCAGATGTCAAAGAGGGCTCCCGATCATCCACTTCTTCATCTATGGTAGATTTCTGGTCATGGCCCTCAGGGGACACAGATCTTCTATGTTCAGAAGTCAAAGAGAACTCCACACCTTCTTCCTCCATGGGAGATTTCAGCTCATGACCTTCCTGATATGAGGATGTGGAATGTCCTCGTTCAGGTGTCAGAGAAGGCTCTAGATCCCCTGCTTCTTCACCAAGGCCAGATTTCACACTGTAGCCATCAGGGGACATGGAGCACGCACTTTCCGGCATTAAAGGCGGCATTGCACCATCCATTTTTTCAGCAGAGTCATCAGGGGACATGGAGGCTCTATCATTTAGCGTCAAAGGCTCAACACTGCTTGCTATTCCAACAGTGGGGAATGCCAGCTCCTGGCCATCAGGGTATGCTGCATGTTCATTTTCAGGTGTTGGAGAAAACTCTCGCACATCTGCTTTCTGAATAGTGGTGAATCTTACCTCCTGGCTCTCAAAAGACAAAATACGTTCATTTTCAGGTGTCAAAGAAGAATCCATATCCTCTGTTTTCTCAGCATGAGTTAATCTTGCTTCATACTCTTCAGGGGACAGATCATGTTCATTTTCAGATGCCAGAGAAGGTTCCTTAGCCTCTACTTTTTCAGCAGGGCTAGACTGCAGCTCTTGACCTTCAGGGGACATGGTACATTCACCTTCAGACAAAGACAACTCCTGCACCTCTGTTTTCTCAACAACAGTAGACTGCAACTCCTGGCTATCAGTGGACACTGAACTTTCACTTTCAGATGTTGCAGAAGATTCCTCAGTTTCTTCTTTTTCCACAGGACTGGATCTCAAATCACGGCCTTCAGGGGATACATCATATTCATTTTCTGACAGCAAAGAACACTCCTGCACCTCTGTTTTTTCAGTAAGAGCAGAGAGCAACTCCTGCCCTTCCGGGGATGCAGCATATTGACTGTCTGGTATTAGTGAAGGCTCTTGCACCGTTTTCTCAACAAGGGTAGACTCTAATTCTTGGCCTTCAGCGAAGACGCTATATTCACTGTGGGCTGTCAGAGAAGGCTCCTGTATCTCTTTTTCAGCAGGGCTGCCTGCCACTTCCTGGCCCTCAGGAGACATAGCGTATTCATTTTCAGACAGCAGAGAACACTCCTGTACCTCTGTGTTTTCAGCAATGGAAGATGGCAACTCATGATCTTCAGCAGACACAACATATTCATTGTCAGGTACGACAGAAGCCTCCTGCATCTCTACCTTTTCAGGAGAGCTACATCGCAACTCCTGACCCTCCCAAGACACAGCATATTCATTTTCAGATGTCAGAGCAGGCTCTTCTACTTCTACTATCTTTTCAACAGGGGCTGACGGCAACTCCTGGCTCTCAATGGACACTGAACACCTGTCTTCAGACATCCGATAAAGTTCCAGCATCTCTGTTTTTTCAGCAGGGGTTGATGTCAACTCTGGGCCATCAAACCTTATTGTGTATTCGTTTTCAGACACTTGAGAAGGCTCCTCTACCTCAACTTTTTCAAAAGGGGTGGACGCCAACTCACGACCATCAGAGGAAGCTGAACATCCGCCTTCCAGTGTCAGAGGTGGCTGCTGCACCTGTATTTCTTCATTGTAGGCAGATGTCAACTTGTGGCCATCAGGGGATGCAACGCATTTCAGTTCAGATGACTTTTGCGCCTCTACTTCTTCTGCAGGGATGGGTGTTAATTCATGACTATTGGGCAACAGGAAAAGCCCTGCTTCGGATGTCAGAGAAGTCAGCGGGGCCTGGAGTTTTTCAATAGGTGTGCTTACTGATTCACAAACATCAGCAGACCTGGAAAACCTGCTTTCTGGTGGGAGTGAAGGCTTCTGCATCTCCATGTTTTCAACTGCAGTGGATGTCAATTCATAGCCTTCAGGTAGGACAGAACACCTAAGCTCAGATGCCAAAGACAGTTCTGCACCTTCTGTTTTCTCAAAGTAATTGTGTTTTGATTCATGGTCATCATGGCACACAGGAATTCCACTTTCAGACATCAAGAAAGCTCCTGTACTCTCAGTTTTTCCACCAGGCAGGTATCCTGATTCATGCATTTCAGAAGATTCAGAGCAGTCAATTTCAAGTACTTGTGAAAGTGTCGGACCATCTACATCTTTGTCAACAGATGATCTGGACTCATAAACTTCAGAAGATTTGCAACTTTGGCCTGCAGTTGTCAGTACAACTTCTTGCATTTTTTCAAAAGATGATGCTGAAATGAGGTCATGCGAGACCTCAACAGGACCACGCTCTGACGTCAGGGAAGCACCTGGAGCCTCGACTTGTTCAACAGGTAAAGATCTTTGTTCATTTCCATCAGGTGGCTTGAAGGACCCACTTTGAGACATCAGTGGAAGCTCCTCTGCTTGTGCGGCAAAGCTGGATCCTGATTCATGTCCATCAGGAGACTTTTCAACAGGCAGGGGGGCTGACTCGTAGACATCAGGGAACACAGAGCAAGCGCCTTCAGGTGCTGGAAAAGACTTCTGAGCCTCTGTTATTTCAGAAGATAGCAACCTTGACTCAGAGCTGTCAGCCAATGTGGAATATTCACTTTCAAGGTCTCTTTTTTCAGTGGGGATATGTCTTAATTCATGACCGTCAGAAAGTAAACTTTCAGACAACTGAGAAGACCCCTGAACCTCTGTTCTTCCAGAGGACAAGGAGATTGTCTTGTAATCATCAGAAGACACAGAGCATCCACTTTCAAGTGTCAGAAGAGGCTCCGGACCCTCTACTTCTTTGAGAGCGGTAGATCGCAATTCATCTTCATGTGATGTGGAGAGCTGAAATTCTGTTACTGAAGTGGTTTCTGGACCTCCACTTTTTTCAACAGATGACGATCTTGACTGGGATGTGGAGCATGTAAGTTCAGGTAGTGATGACGACTCCAGGGCCACTGCCTTTTCAGCTGATCCATTTTCAGATGTCACAGAAAGCTCCGAAACCAATATTTTTTCCATAGGCATGGATCTCAATTCCTCGTCATTTGGGGTTTTGGAGCTATCAAATTCAGGCATCACAGAGGGTTGCGGACTCACTGCTTTTTCAACAGATGAAGAGCTTTCCTCAAGACTGTCAGAAGTTTTGGAAAATCCACTTTCAGGTGCTGGTGGCAGCTCTGGGCCATTGACTCCTTCAATAGATGTGGGACCATTAGAGGATTTGGAGGAGCTGCCTTCACTTGCAAGAGAAGGTTGAGGAACTTCTACTTTTTCAAGACATTTGGTTGACTCCTGAAGTTCAGAAGACTCCACACACTTGCTACTGCCCTTTACTGAGGACAGCTTACTGTCTTTTTTTTCTATAGATTTGGACCTTGATTTAACACTATCAGAGGACTTGGAACGTTTCCGTTTGGACTTTTTTGAAGACTCCTTGCGCTTTTTTTCAACAGACCTAGACCTAGATTTGTAACGTTCAGAAGATTTTGAGCGGCGACGCTTAGATTTTCGTGAGGACTCCTTCTTTTTTTCCACTGATTTGGATCTAGACTTGTAACCGTCAGAGGATTTTGAGCGCTGACGTTTAGACTTCCGCGATGATTGCTTTCGATCTCTTTTTTCTACTGATCTGGACCTAGACTTGTAACGATCAGAGGACTTTGAACGCTGACGTTTAGACCTCCGCAGGGATGCCTTCCGACCTCTCTTCTCAACAGATCTTGACCTAGACTTCGAACGATCAGAGGAACCAGACCCTCTATGTCTGAACCTCCATGAGTATTCTTTGCCCCCTCTCTTTTCTGAAGACCTGGATCTAGATTTGGAATGGTCAGAGGACCTGGAACGTCTGCGGCGGGATCTCCAGGAGGACAATCTGCTCCCCCTCTTTTCCACCGACCGCGATTTAGACCTGTAGCGGTCAGATGACCTGGAACGTCTGCGCCCAGACCTTCGGGAGGACAGTCGCTTTTCCACTGACTGCGACTTAGACCTGTAGCGATCAGATGACCTGGAACGTCTGCGCCCAGACCTTCGGGAGGACAGTCGCTTTTCCACTGACCGTGATTTAGACCTGTAGCGGTCAGACGACCTGGAACATCTGCGTCCAGACCTTCGCGATGACAGTCGCTTTTCCACTGACCGCGATTTAGACCTGTAGCGGTCAGATGACCTGGAACGTCTGCGCCCAGACCTTCGGGAGGACAGTCGCTTTTCCACTGACCTGGACTTGGACCTGTAGCGGTCAGAAGACCTGGAACGTCTACGTCTGGACCTTCGGGAGGACAATCGCTTTTCCACCGATCTGGATTTAGATCTGTAGTGGTCAGATGACCTGGAACGCCTACGTCTGGACCTCCCAGAGGACAATCTGCTTCCTCTTTTTTCTGCTGATCTGGATTTAGACCTGTAACGGTCAGATGACCTGGAACGTCTGCGTCTGGACCGCCGGGAAGACACTCTCTTCTCCACAGATCGGGACCTAGATTTGGAATGCTTTTTTCTGGAATCTGAATGGTTTCTACTCCTAGATCGTGCTCTCTTAGATGTCAAACGCCTGGAAGTAGAACGCGACCTCGATTTTTTCTTCCGCTTCCTAGACCTGGACTGAGACTTGGAATGACTCCTTTTTTGTTTCTTTGCATCATGTTTTTTATCAGTGCTTCTATGGCTACTTTTTTCAATAACTTTCTCAAGCCTCATCAGAGTCTCCCTCATTCGTGCTGCCACATCAGGTTGCACCTCAGATGTTTCTGAATCTCTTTTCTCTGACTCCCGTTCTGGAGTTGCTTCTTTGACAGACTCAGCCTGTGGAATGACTTCCGACTGACTTTCCTCTGCCACAGGTACTGGAACTGCTTCTCCACCACTCTCGGGTACTGGAGCTGCTTCCAAATCTTTTGTCTCTGCCTCCAACCTCACAGCTGCTTCTGCATCTTTCAGCTCTACAACAGTCTCAGGAAAAACAGCTGTTTCCAAATCTTTTGGTTCTGACACATGAGCTGGACTTGCTTCTAGCTGGTTTGTCTCTCTGATTATTTCAGATTTAGGAGTCCCTGTTGAATCTTTTTCATCTGCTGCATGTGAAGAACTAAAACCTGTTTCTGCCATGAAAGGCTCAGATGCCAGAGCTTGCTCTGCGTCCTTCTTCTCAACCAGTATCTCGCATTCCTGAGCTTGACCTGGAACTCTGACATCCTGAATTTGTTGACCCTGTGCCCCTTCTGCATATTGTACTTCTGCTGCCAGAAGTGTTGTTTCCAGATCTTTCATGTCCCCTGGTTTTGGAACAGCTTCAGAAGATTTCATTTCAGCTGCACTTGAGATTTCTGGAGCTTCTTCTGTACTTTTCCATTCTGCAGCTGGTTTTGATTCTAGAATTGCTTGCAGATTTTCTTGCCTTTCAGTGTGCAAAGATTCTGGAACAATCTCCAAAGCATCCTCTAAAACACACATTGCCTCCTCATTTCCAGACTTTTGGGAAGTTTCTAAACCTTGAATATCCATGTGTACCTCAGGCTCTTCGACTGTTTCAGAACCTTTCAACTCTGCTGTTGCAGATTCTTTTGTACCTTCCAACAGCGTCACTTCTCTGGCTTCTGCTGCTGCTGCCTCCAAATACTTTGCTTTCTCCACTTCTGAAGCTTCTTCCAAACCTTTTAGATTGATGAGTGAGGGCTCATTTTTTTTGGTGCTTGTCTTCCGTGTTGCAATTATATATTCTACAGTGGGTCCCTGAGTTCTCACATCTGTCGCAATCTTGGATTCCAAAGTTCCTTTCAAGTTTCTCACTTCTGTCACTATTTCTGGTGCCACAGTTTTTTCTTCCACTCTGGGCAAAGACTCTAATATTGCTTCTGAATGAACTAATATTTGCTCCTGTACAGATTTTAAATTTGTTTCTACAGTTTGCACAGGTTCTAGTATTGCTTCTTTGCTCCCTGCTTTTACTTTGTTTGGATCTACCTCAGATGCTAATGTCCTTCCCAAGACTTGCATTAGTGTCCTTTGTTCAGAACCCATTTCCACATCTTTTACCTCTGCAACTGCCTCAACTTCTGACAAGGTGTCTAAACCTCTCACTTCTACAGTGGCAGAACTGGTAGCTAGTTCAGAATCCTTTATCTCCCCTACCACCACAGTTGCAGAGGTTCTTGTATGTGTAATGACCTGAGAATGTGACATCAGGGAACTTTCTGCTTTGCTTGCACCAAGAGATGCAGCAAGTGTTTCTGTGTGTCTCGGTTCTCTCTCTGCTGTGGATTTCAAATGCATCATTCTTGCTAATGACTCTCTCACTGGTTCCATGTTTACACATGCAGCCATAGTTTCAGGCGTCCTTTCTGACCTTTCTTCTGACGCAAGAAGTCCTGGACTTGCTTCCAAGATGTTGCTACCCGTTCTGGATCCAGAACAAACATTTTCTCCTAAGCCTCTTGCCACTGCAAGGGTTCCAGGCTGCAAGACTGCTTCCAAAGCTTGTATCTTTGCCATATCTACAGACACATTATCTCCTAAATCTCTCACACCTTTCGTGTGCAGCTGTGATGAATAGGTCTTCATCTCTGTCCCAGCTCTGTCAAATGCTGCAGGTCCTGTAGTTGTTTCCAAATTTCTCACAGATCCCACTTTCATAGCCAGGACACCAGCATCTGAGCCAGATTCTACTCCTGTCATACTATCTAGATTTATCCCTGAATCTTTTGACTCTGCTGTTGAATCCAGCGCTGCTGCTAAACCTTGGGCCACAGTCCCACAATGCACAGCTTCTTCCGAAGCTTTCACACCTTCCATTTGCAGAGACAAGTGAGTTGATTCCAAACCTCTCACATTTGATTCGCTCTCAGATCTTGATTCTCTCAGCTCCTCTGGTTGTCTCAGTAATGAAGTACTTTCTGAATCTTTTGCCTCTGGTACAGCTACAGGCTTGAGAGTGGATTCTGAAATTTTTGACGCATTAGTATCTTCCAGGTGCAGAGCAGCTTGACTTGTTTCTAGACACTTTATTCCTGTTTGTGCTGCAACTCCCGCAGTTGCTGGTGGACCTTCAAGACCCTCCGCCATCTGGATTTCTGGAGTTGTTTGAGGAACGAAGGTCTGCCCAACCGCTACGGGTTCTAAAATCACTCTCAAACCTTCTGCCTCTGCAACCACATTCACTGCTGTCAATGCTGCTGAAAGTGAAGATTCCTGGGTTCTAGCCACACTACTTGTTTCTGTCAAGACTTGAGGTTGTAGGAACACTCCTGATGCCTTCAGCACTGTTGCAGGATCAGCAGTATCTTCCACACCTTTGACTACTTTAACCTGCAGATCTTCTCGAGCTGCTTCAACATCTTCTGCTGTAATACCCACTGGTTCCACGATTGTTTCCAAAGTTTTGGGCTTTACTGCAGCAATTGGCTGCAAAACTTCTTCCAAAGCTTTCACATCTTCCATATGCGCAGAGCTTCCAGTTGGTTCGATATCCTGCACTTTTGTAACAGCTCCTGGTCCCTGGGGTATTTTGGCACTTTTCATTTCCACCTGGGTCACAGCCATTGCTGCAGATAGTTTAGAAGGATGTTGCAAAGATACATCTGCCCTCAAGACACTTGAACCCTCCATGGAGCTGCGCTGCATCACTCTCAAGTAATCAGTTATAACTGAGGGCTTCAGGGCCGGCTCCAGAGTTCTGCTCACACTCCCTAACTCCCAAGATCTTTCCACATTTTTCACACTTCCCATGTAGAGAGATTTTTCAGTTGCTTCTGGAAGTTTCACTTCTTGCACGGCCACAGGCACGTGAGCTACCTTCAAAGTATTCAAATCTGCCCGATTTGCAGATTCAGGAATTGTTGTCACATCACTTGCCAAAGACACATATTGTGAAGTTGCTACTATCTCTCTAGCTCCCCCCTGTGCCGCAGATTGTAGAGGTGCTTCTGAATATTTCAACACCTCCATGGCCTCAGACTCCAGAGCTATATCCAAAGCTCTTACTTCCCCAGTGCCTTTAGATTTCAGAGTAACTTCCGAACCTTCTAGTGCTTCTACTACCTCGGAAGCAAGAGCTGCTGACGTATCTTTCTGAATTTCAGCTGTAGTGGCAACTCCAGGTGGGATGCTAGACAAAGTATCATTTCCAGTATCAACAAGAACACTCTTTTCACTCGCATTAATAGCTACAGGATAAATATTTTCATGAGACTGTTTAATTTGTTCTTCTCTAGTGCAAATTTGAGTTATACTAGCATTTCCTTGAATATCAGGTTGGCTGCCTTCTAAATTAAATGGAGGATTTGTTGCACACAAAGTCTCCTTCTCACTTCCAAGATTTTCTGCAGATGGCTGAGAATCAGTTCCTGAAGGAGGAATAAGTCCTAAAGCTTGTCTATCAAACTCCTCACTTGCCTGTAAGCACAGTCCTTGTGGCTGCGCATGGACAGCCAGACTTGCATCTCCAGATCCTCCATGCTGTGCACTCAATTTGGAGCTTGATTTCTCTGGCATCAACTGAGAAGCAGGCTGCAAGTCTGCATGTTCTCCATGACGCACACTCAACTTTGACTCCTTTGGCTGCTTTTTATGTTTTTTCTCTTTCTTCCTTTTCTTCTTCTTTTTCTTCTTCTTCTTGCTTTTGTGTTTCTTGTTCTTCTTTGATTTTTTCCTAGGAATTTCATCTTCAGCAGTAGAACTTCTTTTTGTAGACTTAGTACTACTTTTCACAGTATTTTTGTCTACATCTAGAAAAAATGATATTTTCCTTGTAAATGTTATTAAAACTACATTTTAAAAATTCTTTTAGACTGGTGATCAAATACATGGACACATGCACAAAAAATTTAAACTTGAAACCCACGCCTTCTTCACTGAACTACCAAACACAAATGGCACACAGTCCTCTTACCCTCCCTTCTCAGGAGTCACTTGAGGTAAAAATAATTCATTCTTCTCTCAAAAAGTTAACCAAATCTTCTCAAGCAGCAACACAGTTCCAGCAGGAACCTGACTCTTTTCCGAGCAGTAGCTGGATATACTTCCACTTATATTCAACTGGGTAGTGCATTCTTCCAGCAGGCTGGAGATGTGATTTTAAACTATACCAAACTGCACATGGAAGTGAAACAAGAACTCCCATTTTCCAGACAAATCGTCTAAGTGGTGGTATGCTTATTGTATAAAATGCAGCCAGCCCATTACCCCCTACTACGTTTTAATTTGTGAGTGAGCCACGTATTACTAGTGTGTTAGAAATTATCTAAGCCTATTTACTGATCAAGTTCCTCATCATGTTCTTCAAACAAATTTTGGGAAACAGCCTCTACTTCCCCAGTCCCAAATAAGTTGTAAGACACTGCAGACAACCATCTGTGCAGACTGGACTGCAGTTACCACAAGCAACTGCAAACCTGCAAGTACCTAAAAGAGTTTTTGCTTCAAACAGGAAAGTAACAATAAATTCAGGCGATTGTAGGGACAAGCAGGCATAGAGGAGAAAGGGAAAGAAGATGACTGAGGTTTCAATCACCTTTTAATTCCATACCTCATTTCACTCTCAATTTAACCTGTGTTAGGCTGTTACCTTTCTTTGAATCTAGTGCCATGTTTTCATGAGAAAGGCACTTCAAATAGAGGCGACTTGTTAGAATTTCTGTGAAATATGAGCTACATAATCAAATCTGATTGCATGTGATGTTCAACGATTATGATGGCCAGTGCAGCAATATGGATTCCCCAATTATAATCTGGCTATGATTACAAAACATACTTTCAAGTGAGTAATCCAAAATCATTCAAAACCTATTGGTAACTGAACTGTAGTACTATTAAATAAACATGACTTAAAATTCCATAAACAAGTATCACACATAGTTTTAAGCAGACATATTTTTATGGAATAATGAGCTTAACAAAAAACTGTTTCCACCAACATTGCTGTGAATGCAGTGAGAGGACAATGTAGCAGAGTCAAATGACCTTTTTTGCACTGCATTTTCAGATAATCTCCATCATCCGACAGCAAGGCTAAACTCCTTTCCAGATACGAACAGTGGGAACGTTTATCATAAGTTAAATTTATTAACTTTCAGGTTAACAGGTCTCACTTACTTATTACCATGTTAGCTTGCCTCATTCTTCCACAACAAAAGAACAAAAATACAACAACAAAACCCAACACACCACCATAAAAAACAGATGCTAAAGTGCTGCATGTACAGCCTAAGTGAAAGACTGTTGAAAAGGCTCACAGTAAAGCCACTTCATTAATTAAAAAGCAATTCCAAAACCCTGCAGAATCTCTGAAAGAAACATTTTTTTTCTACACCACTTCTTTAAGAAAAAAAAACACATCCCTCCACAACTATACTTACCAAGCACATAGCTGCCACCTATGTTTCAAATCCAAAAAATTGGAAATGCAGTAATTACAGCCTTCATCTCACTAACTCTCCCATTTCAGACATTTTACAGAAAGGACTAGTCCCATGAGAAGAGATACTCATATGCAACCGTTTGGCATAATAAATCCAGCAATTTATTGAAGTTTTGAGATTTCCACATAAAAATTTCTTAACCTTTGGAAGATTGCAGTCTGAGTGTCTACATTTTAAAGATAAGTGCATTATTCACTTTAAACAACTAAACATCTTACTCTGAAAGAAGAGTTAATCATACAGTTCTGAATTCTAGTAATTTTTAGAAATAATCTTACAAACCAATCCAAAACAACACAACAAACAATGCTTCTATCTATCAGCACCAGCTCACTGAGACCTTGAAGTAGGTATATACAAAATAAAACACAATTTATAAGTGGCTATTGTTTATACTTTTTAGCATTATTGTAATGGAGAAAAAAGAAAAACGTTTTTGCTCATCAAGTAATGCTTTCATATAATAACCACCTTCAATATTTAAATTATTTATTTCTCTGTCCATTTATGGTTGTAAATCACACTAGACAAAAAAAACCCCACTAAACAAACATGACGATACACATACAACTTCTCAGATGAAGCTCAGTGACAGGAGCAGTACTGAAAAGTCCTTTTTAATTTCTGTAAAATTGAATCTATTTTAAGCACTATGACAACCTTCTTAAACAAGAATATATTTGCCAAATGTGATTTCATTTACCTGATTTGCACTGCAGCTCTGTATCAAGGGCTCCAGAGAGCACTTCCTCTATTTTCTGCACTATCTGATCATTCTGACGACTCCCAGCACCAGCAACAGTGTCATCTGAAGGGTTGGCTTGCTCAGCTGGGATTGTGTCACCATTGGGCTGGCCTTCTACCTTTCCACTAACCAAAAAAAATATCAACATAATACAAGCAATTTTGAGCCTTTTTTGACTTTAAAAAAAAAAAAATCATAAGCATTATATTCAACCCTTCAAAACAGTCCTGTAGCCTCCTGAAGAAGCCAAGCTTTTAGTGAAACACCTAGCTTTTGATTAACTTTCACTTACAACAGATCACGCTCTGACAACTTGAGCATTAGGCACAAGGGAGGAAAACGCTCCTGAACGTGCCACAGTCCCCGTGCCTTCCTTAAGAACTCGTATAGGCTCCCCTCACAAAATAAGCACCCATCGCTCGCTTTTCTCTGACAGATGTGCGAGACGATCTCGCAAAGGCTGGAGAAAAGCAGGCGAACTTAGACGTGGTAAAACAAATCGCACAGACGCTCGCTCCTTGCCCCTACACAGGAGGCCGACACCGACAACCCGTGAGCGAAAACGGGTACGCGTCCGTCACAACGCGTGCCCCCGCCTGCCCCTCCCCCCTTTCTC